CCGAAGGAACGCCTAGCGTCGCCCAGTACTCAGCGATCGCCGACGGTAAATTCGCCGGCCACACAAGATCACACACAAACACACGATCGACGGCGTGAGTCGATCGAGATCAGCACCGAAAAACTTATCTTGCCTAGGGTTTGGCTCTGATACCATGTAGAAAATTTAGCACAACTGAACTGGTTTTCCATTGATCATAAACCGATATATATACAAGTACATAAATGGGCTATAAGTACAGGCCCAATAACACAAAATCTACATCTAATTACAAATATCCGCTAACAGTAGGCATGCTCCATGTTCATAACTAGATGCGTAAATTTACAATAATAAGTAACATTGTTTGTTGTTATCTCCATATTTGGTTTTACTTATAAGGATATATGTAGGCAAAATTAGCACTTGGAATCGGTGAATGAGAGACTTCGTACGTAGTGAACCTGAGATTTGTTTCAATCAACATATAGCTTGGGCTTCGCATCTATCGTTGTAGGTGTGTACTAAAATTTCATTTACAAGCTGCAACATAAGTGGACCAATTGTATTCCAACAAAAAAAAGAAGGCATGTAATTCATAGTTGTTGCTTATCTTATGTAAATTTCCTTTGCTTTTACCATGCTTCTGCATATCTGTCATCTCATCCTCTTAAGTTGTCTTCTTAACCATATCCTCTCTTTCTCAAAGATAAGGAGCCATTTGTTATGATACCATGCAACCCAATTATTACGTTTCTTCCATTTGGTAATGACTTTCCTACTAACCCCGAAGACATATTTAGCAATTAGCGGGCGTTAGAGCTAGCGGGGAAGTGCTGATCATTTTATTAGCAACAAACCTAAGTGTAGGGGAATTAAAATGCCTTTTTAATATTTCAAGAGAGTTATAAGATAACGGTTACGTTCTTGGCAAAAACCTCATTTTTTAGAAAATATGACTTTGGTGAAATAGGTACTAATCACACTCCAAGCTAACAACCAACATTGGGAAAACAATAAAAATAATAAACTTTTGTGGTAGAGAAAATTCAGCCATAGATATAAAGTTGTTTATAGTAGCTTTATAAAACCTTTATACTTGCTTTATAAACATTCAAGCTTTATAGTGCATTTTCTAAATCTTAGAGTATACTGCCTTATAAACATACCACTTTTATACTAGCTTTATAAACATACTAGCTTTTTACTAGACATTCTAAATCTTGGAGTATACTGGCTTTATAAACATACTAGCTTAATAGCGTTATATTTGCTTTATAAACATACTAGCTTTATACTACATTAAAAACATACTGCTTTACACTATATTTATTATATATCCTAAAAAACTGCTGAAAATACACACTTGGTGTTGTTCAGATTTTTGTCTCAAAACAAGATTGAAGCCATATGATTCTTTTATTCTAAATCAGCAAACACATTGTTTCCCTGAATTAAGATAAGTTTCAACTGATTTCAAATTTTGTTTTTTGGAGAGTTGGAATTTGTGTAGACTAGGAAACAAAATCTGGGCAGTAGAAATAAAATGTGGGCCTCAAGGCTGAATATGTTCACCACCATCATTGGGGTTGACATTATTTCAACAGCTACATTGTATTAGAATCAGTAGAGAAATGAAGAACCATTTTTTATGACTACATTAGAAGTAACATAATGACCAGATGCACATCTGTAACCATTATAAATGAGACATCTTATTCATCTTAATTAAATAAGACTTTTTGAAGTGCTTTTGTGATTTATTAACATGTGAGGCAGAAGGGAACTAATTCTATCTCAACGGGAAGAATGAAATCATAGCCATTTTGATTCCAAAGTCAATAGCGTCAATGATAGAAAATATTGATCCTGCCATTTTTGCAGCTTAATGTGCACTTGCACACTCTGCCAAAAGTTATTCTACATGGCAGACTTAGCATGTGGAAGTAGTTAGGGCAGGTTAAAAAGTGCTTCAGTGCCAGCAAAACTACAAATGTTAGCCTTACAAGAATGGTATTTTTCAAGGTGAGCAACTACCCTTTTGTGGTGTACCTAGAGGATGAAATGGCTTAAAAAATCATTTTTACACTACATTTGATTGTTGTTTAACCAAAACTTGGGAAGCAAATGTATGCTCATTTACTTAGGTATGGTTGGTGGTACCTCACATTTATCTATAACAAGAATGTGCCCATTTATCCAGTCTTCTTTTATTGATATTGGAAGAGTTGTGTATTTTTCTTGATGACTTCACAATGACTACCCAACACTAAATACACGTCATTAAATAACACTTTGCATCTTAGAACATGTTCTCTTTATTCTTATTAGAATCATATCATAAACAACTTTAACCTTTACTAGAATGATAATAGTTCAAACCAGATCAATCATAAATAAGAAAAATTAGATTACACTTTAATAGATTTAGAACAGAACTAATCAAATCATACTTTTAGTCTGTATGTTTAAATCATATTAATACTCTGTGCACACTCGCTCATAGTCTAATTTGCACAAACCATTGCACCATTATCGCATTTGTCACATGCAGAAACTATTTCACAATTCTGTTTATGTCGTATCTAACATTCTATATTATATTTACCTTTATTTTATAATTATTTACTTAAAACAAAATAAGCAGAATTAAATTTAACATGTGTTGGACCCCGTGCAGCACGGGGTTAAAATTACCCATATATAAATACATATGAGATGCTTAAGCCCACCCACAACAAAGAAAGATATTTGTCACAATACTTTCTCATCATTTTTACAATATTATACCCCTTCCGTCCTGGAAAATATGGGAGTTTTGATTTTGAATAGGATTTAAGGAGAGTGTATTTTGGTATTGAATTTCTAAAAATGTCCTTTGATGTGATGGGTAAAAGTATGATTTGATGAATAGATTATTAGTAAAAAGGTATGATGTGATAGGTAGGGTATTAAAAAGTAAGGGGTAAAAGTGACATTTTAATAAAAATGAGAAGTGTTTTTTGGGACGGATGAAAGGTTTTCAGGGACGGAGGGAGTAGTTCTGTTTTATTATTAGCAATGCCCAAATATTCAACCCTCAATCTCGCTTGCCTTCTTATCTTTCTACTCGTAGCATCAGGTATATATAATAAGCAATATACTACGGTATATCACATTTTTTCTTATGTATTGGTGTTAGAATATTATGTGAATATATAAACATTAATATTATATTAATCTCTCCGTTTCTTAAAACCCTTCCTCTTTCATTTTTTGTTTTTCTTAAAACACTTTCTTTTTCTATTAAAAAACCACTTTTACCCCTATTTTTTCATACCCTATCTATTACATCATAGTTTTTCACTAATAACTAAACTATCACATCTTACTTTTACCCATCACATCAGGGGCAAAATTAGAAAGTCAACTAAAATTACACTTTCCTTATTTTTCCCCAAAGTTAAAACAGGAACCGTTTTGAGAAACGGAGGGAGTATGTTATAAGGATTTTCTTTTGATTTCCTTGCAAAAAAAATCCAACTATTATCACTATCAATGTAATTTTCATTGTTTTATTTTCATGGGTTACACAAGTAAGACCTAGTTCTGAACTTAATGGAATACGATATGACCTCCTAGTAGCTCGGTGTCATATTATCATTTTTATGACACCAGAAAACCGTGTAAAAAAAATCCTTACTCGTGTATAAATGATTCTCTTTATTTCTTTTGACACTACAACCTGGTAGCATATTAATTATGACCAATCATTTGAGAGTCGTATGGTACCTTAGCTTGTTTGACCTCGAAATGATCCTCAACATACTCGTTACAGTAACAAAATTGTTATTAGTAAAAACTAATAAAATGGTGATAATTACTAGGGTACGTGTTATGGCTTGGGACGTGCATGCATGCAAGAGAAACAATGAAAAGAGGTGATGCGGCAACAACAAGGAATCAAATCAACGATTATGATCCAGATTACTGCCGGCCATGATTGTTATGATGAGTGTGGCGGCACGGACGGTTGTCCTGAATGTGTTAATAACAAATGTATATGTAACTGCATTCGTTAAATGAGTAACCAAATAAGAAAATTAATCAGGAGAGTACCCAAGTATAATACTAGTGAAAATAATTCGGCTGAATTTTTCTATTATGGTCTGTGATGTTTAACTTACTTTACTTTTAATTTAATTTATCAGTTGTAGCGGTAAATTTCAAAAACAAATTTATATTATTAGAAACCACATAAAAACTTCTGAAAAACATGCAAGAGATGACGTGATTATTTTTATATTATAAAATGAGTTTTGAAAATAAATAAACAAAATGAATAAAAAGCGGTAATATGAATAGTATCTAGGCATATCATTTCCATATACATACAGTCATAGAGATCGAATTATATAAATATTCCGTATTTTATATTTCAAAAATAGGAATTTAATTATTAGAAAGTAATTATATTGATTGCTAATTTATACGAGTAATATTAGTTTACTTATAATATATCCAACTCCAATGTCTGTTCATTGTTGCTTTCGCCGGCAAATCAAATTTGTCGCCATAAAGAGATGCAAACAGTATGTTTGGTTCAACCAAAAGGAATGAAAATTAAAAAAAAAAAATGAGATGTAAAATATTTTTTCTTACTTGATTAGAAAGCAAAAGAAATTTAGAAGATGAAATATATTAAGCTAGAGGATAAAAAATTAAATTTCTTCCATTTTGATGAGGAAAATAAAAAAAATAACTTAATTTTTTTCCTTCTAAATTTCTTGAACCCGGCCAACATAGTGTTAAAAAATTATCAGAGATGCTAGCCGATCGGTATCCCTTCGCACACTAGTTTCGTGTTAGGTTACTGTTACGCCTTTGGGTAGCACGTAACAGGGCTGGCCGCCGCACGAGTTGGCCGCACGACAACCTAGCAGAGGGTTTAGGGTTTTGAGAGAGAAAAGAGGTGTAGGGAGAAGGATGTTCTATTATTGCTTGCCGTATGTGATGACATCCGTAGCTTTATATTGAAAGCATTCCCTAACCCTAATTAATTAATTATCTAACCTGTCGGTTCAAAAAAAAGCATCGAGGTAAAGAACCGAAAAGTTTGGGAGCTTCCTCGAATATTAAGCGAGTGGATCTTTTTAGATGCAATGTTCCCTTTATAATTTTATTTTTATAGTTTGCATCAGCATTATTGCAGCCCCACCGGGCTGCAAGGAAGCACCTGCGGGGTACGCCTGAACGAGGCGAACCCGGGGCGAACACCAAAGGCCTTGGGCTTTATTCGTATCACCCGTAACAACTCCCCCCGGGTTAACGTCCGCCTTGTCCTCAAGGCGAAGATTCGGAAAGTGGCGCAACAGAGCCTCTACTGGTTCCCACGTTAAACCCCCGTCGGCATCGTCCGACCACCGAATCAGCCATTGGTGTTGTGGGGTGCCATCCACCAAAATCATGCGACTTTGAAGGGCTGTAACAGGGACAGATATGGGCCGACCCTTAAAGAAGCTATCTGGCAATGTAGGATTAGGAGCACTGTCTGGCCGACTAACAAATGGGCGGAGAAGAGACACATGAAAGACATCGTGGATACGGCACCCTTCTGGTAAACGAAAGCGATAATCCACTGATCCAACACGCTCAAGAATTTTGAAAGGGCCGTAGTAGCGACGCCCCAACTTAGCAGAGAGGGGACGCCCCGCTGAGTGTTGTCGATAAGGCTGGAGTTTGAGCAACACTCGGTCACCCACGGCGAAGGAGACGTCTCTACGGTGCTTATTTGCTTTGGCCCGCATACGGTTCTGCATTTTCGACAAGTGAGCTTTCAAATCATTTAGCAAATCAGCCCGTTCTTGCAAGACCGCCTCGACTTCCGGTGTGCGTGCTCGAACAGAGAGAGTGGAAAATAGCAGCGGTGGATCCCTACCATAAAGAGCCTTGAAGGGGGACATGCCAATTCCCTCATGATGACTACAGTTTAATGCAAGCTCAGCCCATGGGAGAAATAGAGCCCACTTGGATGGGCGTTCATAAGTAAAAGCACGAAGGTATTGTTCGAGTCCCCGATTTACCACCTCCGTTTGTCCGTCCGTTTGGGGATGATAAGCCGTCGAGAACTTCAGTGTAGTGCCGCTCAAGCGCATGGATTCCCGCCAAAAAAGGCTCATAAAAATCGAATCGCGATCCGAGATGATACTGAGAGGGAACCCATGATGCTTGACCACAATATCGACGAATAGGCGGGCAGCCCGTGGCGCATCAAACCCTGTCGGCAAGGGCCCGAAGTGAGCATATTTGCTTAGCCTATCCACCACGACCATAATAGCAGTGAATCCTTGCGATGTGGGCAGGCCGGTTATGAAGTCCATAGAAGCCGAATCCCAAACCCGGTCCGGAATTGGCAAAGGTTGGAGTAGGCCGGCTGGCTTTTGCGTGGAATACTTGGTCACTTGGCAGACTTCACACGAGGCCACAAATTGACGCACTTCGCGTCGTAAGGCCGGCCAATAAAATACCGCTGCAATTCTACGAAAGGTCCGCTCAACCCCTTGGTGACCCGCGAGCGGAGTACTGTGGAACTCGGTTAGGATACGAACTCTCAAGGGCGACACCGGGCTGACATAAAGGCGTCGTTTGTAATAAAGTAACCCCGTGTGTACGGAGATATGCGCCGGAGCCTTCCCTGCCGCACACGCTTCATGCAACTGGCGCAGGTTTGGGAGGGCGGCGTTTTCTGCCCGTAGTGATTCAAGAAGGAGAGGGAGCGGCTAGGCAGTGGTGACGAACAACATGGCTGGATCATCATCATCACGCCGTGATAAAGCATCGGCCGCCCGATTGGATGCCCCGGGCTTGTATTCAATCCTGAATTTGAATCCCATCAACTTCCGAATGTAGAATTGCTGATCCGGCGTTTGAATGACTTGTAATAAAAGGTCCTTGAGGCTTCGTTGGTCGCATCGGATGATAAATTCGCGACCCAAAAGATATTGGCGCCACTTTTGCACAGCCTCAACGATGGCGTAGAGCTCTTTATGATATGTGGATGCCGACCGGCGCCGTGGACCCAATTTCTTACTAAAGAAGGCAAGGGGATGGCCTTGTTGTAGTAAAACAGCGCCGATACCAAAGTCCGATGCATCGGTTTCAACGTAAAAGGTTTGGGAAAAATCCGGCAGGCGCAACACCGGGGCGGACGTCATTGCGCGTTTGAGGCGGTCAAAACTGCCCTTGGCAGATTCATCCCACTAGAAGGCATCCTTTTTGAGCAAGTTTGTTAAGGGCGCGGCAATGACAGTGTAGCCGGCAATGAAGCGCCGATAATATCCGGTCAACCCAAGAAAGCCACGCAGCTGCTTCACATTTCGAGGAACCGGCCAAGACACCATTGCTTCGATTTTGCTGGGATCTGCACGAAGCTCGCCGGCTGTCAACACATGGCCCAAATATTCAATAGTGGTTTTGCCAAAAGCACATTTGCTGAGCTTAATAAAAAACACATGATCCTTTAATGTAGCCAAAACCGTACGCAGGTGCTTTTCATGTGTATCCAAAGTGGGGCTATAGACCAAGATGTCGTCAAAAAATACAATAACAAAGTGACGCAAATGTGCCCGAAAGAGAGTGTTCATGGCCAACTGGAAAGTAGAGGGAGCGTTCGTGAGTCCGAACGGCATGACCAAGAATTCGTAGTGTCCCTCGTGCGTCCGAAAAGCCGTTTTAAACACATCGGCCTCGTTCATCCGGATTTGGTGATAGCCCGAGCGGAGATCCAGTTTTGTAAAAATGCGAGCATGGCCCAACTCATCAAAGAGCTCGTCTGACGTTGGTATGGGGAAGTGATCCGGTATAGTGGCCGCGTTGAGTGCCCGATAGTCGACACAAAAACGGTAGGTCCCATCTTTCTTACGGACGAGGAGGACCGGGGAGGAGAACGGGCTATGGCTCACCCGAATAATACCCTGCTGCAACATGTCCCGTACTTGGCGCTCGATTTCAGTCTTCTGGAAATAAGGGTACCGATATGGCCGGACGTTTATGGGCTTTGTACCAGCCACCAAATGAATACGATGATCCCAATCACGTGCCGGTGGTAATCCAGTGGGCAAGCCAAAAACTCCAGCGTGCTCAAGGAGAATGGCCCGAAGCGACGCTGGAACATCGTCCGAAACTTCCATGACCGTCTCATCGGGCGGTGCCTTCTCAGCTTGCGAAACAATCAATTCATATAGAGCCCACGACGTAGACGAGGCCACCATGGTACAGAATTGCCCATAAGACATCGGCCGGGGAGGGATAGTGTCGCCCTGTAAGGTGATGGGTTTGCCTTGCCACACAAATTCCATCGTCATTTGAGCATAATCGTGGGACACCTTGCCCAACGTCTGCAACCATTGAACCCCAAGAACCATGTCGGTGCCATGAATCTCCAGAAGATATAAATCAATAAGGAATTCATGGCCTTGCAACGAAACAGCCGTTTGGGGGCAAGCATAGGCGCACCGGAGAGAATCACCGTTGCCGACGTATACACGAAAGGATGTTACTGGATCGAGGACCAATTGAAGACGTTCCGCCACTCCCGGGTGGATGAAATTATGGGTACTCCCACTGTCCAGGAGCACCTGAACTGCCGACCCATTCACCGTACCTGCCACCTTTAAAGCACGCGGATTTGGGCTTCCTGCTAGGGCGTGCATGCTAGAAATATCCGCCGTAATGAGGTCGTCACTGCTGGGGTTATTCGGGCAGTCCACCTGCTCGTCGTCGTCGTCATCTGGTCCCATTAAGAGCAAAAACCGATGTTTACAATTGTGACCGGGGATCCATTTTTCGTCACAATACCAACACAGACCCTTCTTCGTACGTTCGGTTTTCTCGGCGTTGGTGAGACGTACCACTGGCAGTCTTGGTGTGGGTTCGCTGTTGTGCCCAGAGGGAAGCACCGGAGGAGGGCGAGTCGAGGAAGCCGGGGTGGGGAGCAGACCTGCCGAGGATGGGACAGGTGGTCGCGACGACCATGGACGACGAAACTCTCTGCCTGCAGATCCTGCCGCCTCCAAATAACAAGCCGAAAGCTCCCTTGCTAGAGCAAAAGTAATGGGGAGCGTAGTAGGGTTGCGCAGGTTCACCTCTCGCCGAATGGGTTGCTTGAGACCGGCGATATACATCGCAATTAACGTCGGCTCGGGCACACCAGAGACCTTATTGAGGATGGTCTCGAACTCAGATTGATACGCCAGCACTGTCGTCGTTTGTGTCAGTTTGGATAAGAGTCCTACATAATTCTCATAATATGTAGGATCAAATCGCTGTTGTACGGCATCCAAAAATTCCGGCCATGTTGCCATAGGATTGTTGGCCTGATAGTAGTGAAACCATTCCGATGCCGGGTGGTCGATTAACATAGCCACCAAATGCCAACGTTCCAGTTCCGGGGTGAGAAAATAGTCGAAATATTTTTGAACTCGGAAAATCCAACCGGTAGGGTCCTCACCACTAAAACGGGGGGCATCGACCCGCATGCGTGGTGCCGGATCCAAGGTAGGTGGTGTCGTCCGGGATGCTGGGGGCTGCCACCCGGAGTGGCCGGCGGAAAAAGGGCGCTGATTTTCCCCGAACGCATGGCGTCTGGAATCCGCCAATTCTGCGACACGAGATTTCGTTGCCTGCAAGTCCTTGCCGAGCTCTTCAATAGCATGCATGACGTCGTTTAACGTCAAAGAGGAATGGGGTTGATCGGCGGAAGACATGGAGATCGACGAATGAGAGCACCAGATGTTACGCCTTTGGGTAGCACGTAACAAGGCTGGCCGCCGCACGAGTTGGCCGCACGACAACCTAGTAGAGGGTTTAGGGTTTTGAGAGAGAAAAGAGGTGTAGGGAGAAGGATGTTCTATTATTGCTTGCCGTATGTGATGACATCTGTAGCTTTATATTGAAAGCATTCCCTAACCCTAATTAATTAATTATCTAACCTGTCGGTTCAAAAAAAAACATCGAGGTAAAGAATCGAAAAGAAACCCTCGAAGGAGCTTATAATTCGCTCACCTAGAAAAATCTACGTTACAAGGGAAATATTAAAATAAAAATATCAAACGTAGTCGTAATAACATCGGGGTGGCCCGACGTTCCTTCGTGGACGCCCCATGCGGACTTGCTCCGCTTGGGCCCCGCTTGTGGTTTCCCCTTGGGCTTTATTCGTATCACCCGTAACAGTTACCATTATTCATCAATTTCTCCGCTAAAGGACACTACGGACATTATATTACCCGTTTGAAGCAGTGTAAATTGATGGATATTGTTATGAGGCACACCTATATGGACATTAAATTCGTGGTTGACACTTGGCATTGAATCTCTTTGTTACGGAGTATGTTTTTTTTATAAAAATTTAAGTAAAAGTAGGGTTTAATGAGATACTCTAATTTAATTTATATTGTTGAGAAAATGGATTTTTTAAGTGTAGAAATTTTTTTTTTGGTCTTTTGATACTAAATTTATTTTCATTTTAATTCCTTCTGTTCGGGATTGTTCTCTCATTCTGGTTTATAAATTAAAGTTTGACAAAAGATATCTTTAATTTAATTTTTTGATTTATAATGAAATTAAAAAATAACATTTATATATTTTAGAAAACATAAAAAAGTTTTACATAACATATAAAATTTTATAAAACAAGAGTTGAGATAACTATGTGGGTGTTTCTCTGTGCTTATAAACTGTTTTTTGATTTACTTATATGTACTTATAAGCTATTTATAAACTGGAAAAAATGATTAGGTCTTAGTTACTTATTTTTAAACTAGCTTTTTTATTTCTTTGTTTTGACTAGATGAATTACAAAATTCTTTCTCACCATTTATGAATATTTGCAAACGACTTATCTTTCATTTAAGTCATTATTCTTCCACGAAAAAATATTTGACTTATTAACAACTTATAAGCTAAAAAATGTTTATCAACAATAAGCCAATAAGCAATGGCACAAAAAAACACCCCTATATTAAATTATGAAATGAGTAGTCGAAATAACAAACAATATAAATAAAATTTGATTATAAAACTATTATATGCGAAGAATATTTTTCGACATATGGAAGAGTTAAAAGTTTGCTTGAGATGAAATACTCACTCCATCTAAATTATGGTCAAATTTTGAATTTTTAGGAAAAATATGAATAGTTTTTCTTTAAACAATTTAAATTGAAATTATATGTCAAAGGTTAACCTTGATACTAAAGATTTTGTCATGTTTTGAATCTTGACTATTTGCAATCAACCAGAATCAATCTTTGACGTTTTAACTTTAACATTTTTAAAATTAGTCTTCAATTTTAAAAATTAATTAAAATAATAACGTTAATTGAAAATATATATATTCTTCCCAAAGAATTGAAGGCCTAAACTAACATGCATTGTACATCTTACTCATTAGACAGTCAAATATTGATCAAATTAGTTAATTAGGTGAACTAACATACCATTTTAAGGATTACAAACCATAACATATACGGAGTAAAAAAAACTTTCATTGTACATATATACTAAACATGGTTAATAATTGATAGTGCTAAAAATATGGTATAAAAATGAACAAATTATTGGATAGGTAAATAGACATTACCCTTTTAAAGATCATTATATTATAAGTACTCGGGAGACAATATTACCGTACAATACATTCTTATAATATTCAAATTTATTATATTTCGTTGTACGGAGTATTAAGGATGGCCAAATTTTCAACCATCAATCTCCCTTGCTTTCTTCTCTTTGTTCTTGTAGCATCAGGTAAAAAATTATTCTGTTACTGAGTATTATATGCTCAATTTATCATAGTCTATTTGGTAAGTTGTGTTTTTTCAATCAAACTAGACAAATTTTGATTATATATTAAATATTGCCTCCCCTATAATTTTTTTTACCATATTGGAAAAAGTGGGAATTCAAAAATGTACAATTTTAATGTTACTTTCTAATTTTAGTTTTCTTTTATAATGAATAGATATGATGTGATAGATAAGTTAATAACTAGCTAGGAGAATAGAAAAGATCTAGAATATATAATTGAAAGTAAAATGAGTGTATTTTGGACAGATAAAAAGTGAAAGGGAAAATATTTTTTAAGAGGGAGTAAAAATTATTTAGCGTACTAATATATTGAAATAATTTTTTGAGAGTATTTTTTATAAATAAATCAAAAGAGCTCTTTTTTAATTAGGATGCAATGTGACACTTATTCAATCGATGATCAAAAAGGATTTTCAAAGTTGATTTTTGTTCTATTGGTCAATAGGTTATAAATTGTTTGGTTAAATAAACACTAATCTCATCTCATTATATAAATTTTGTTTTACTTATTCCTTGTAAAATATTGTAGCAAATAATTAATTACTTTCATCATCTCCTGGTTTGACTTTTTGGTTTGAAATTAGATAAATTTTGATCATAAATTAATGACAAGAATCTTGACCCGAGTCAAAAATCACATGAGAATGATCCTGCATTTTAGAGCAGCCACAATAAAGCTCCATTGATACAATTAGTGGCTTATATCGGCTCTAACCACCCAAAATCCCATGCACCTCATCCAAACCCCCCACACCCTCCCTAAATCGTTGATTTCGGCTGAGGCGATCTAGAAAGGACTGGGGTAGAGTGTAGAGGCGGCATGGAAGTTTTTGGAAGTATGAATCATCATTTTACCATCAGAGTATCGTAAATGCTCTGAGTCATTTTAAAGCAAAAAATGTCAAGGTAAAAAACGTTGTGATAAATTAAATACCCCCTCCGTTTGGAAAAACACTTCCCATTTGATTTGGGGGCAAAAATAAGGAAGTGTTAAATTATAGTTGATTTCCAATTTTGCCCCTGATGTGATGGGTAAAAGTAAGATGTGATGGATAAATTATTAGAGAAAAAGTATGATGTGATAGGTAGGTATGAAAAAGTAAGGGTAAAAGAGGTTTTTTAATAGAAAAGGGAAGTGTTTTGTTGGAAGTGGAAAAAATGAAAGAGGAAGTGTTTTTGAGAACGGAGGGAATACAAAACAAGATATTAGTACGAACATAATTTCATGAGACTCTATCGATCCCTAATGAACTCCTTCATCCATTCTCAAAAACACTTCCTCTTTTATTTTTTCTACTTTTAACAAAGCAATTCCATTTTCTATTAAAAACCAATTTTTACCCTTATTTTTTCATATCATACTTGCCACATCATATTTTTTCTCTAATAATCTATCTACCACATTTTATTTTTATCCATCACATCAAATTTAAAATTGGAGGTCAACAACAATACAACATTCTCTTATTTTTACGCTTTGTCAAGGTAGGAACTTTTTTTTAAAATGGAGGAGTAATAAATGATGTGATTATATATAAATACAGGGTGTTGTGATTGGGGAGAAGCGGTAAGAGGAGGCGGAGGAATAACGGCAAGGACTCAAATAAACGGCGACGCTAGTGTCAAGTGTCAGGTTCCAAGTGACTGCCGTGTCATTTGTAGTTGGAACGGGCCGGGTTGCGCTCCCACAGATTGTTCTCATAATATTTGCATTTGTAATTGTCCTCTTTCTCCCCCTCCTCCTCCTTTTCATTGTTGTTAAAGTGCTCCATTCTTTTCCTTCTATTTTTTTATTTTCACTTTTGTGATCAGCGTCTTTAAGTTTTGGATGTAAATTGGAAAACAAATACATTGAATTATGATATATATTTAATATCAATAAATTTGTTTTCAAGTGTACATTTCCTTGATACTAATATGTTCCGGCCTTTTGCCATTGATACAATGCACTTTTTTTTACATCAAATTTTGATGTATGACGTCAGTCTATTTTGGACACTTACGATACTTCAATGATCGTCTCGCAAGTGATCTTTATCCCTTAGCTTTAATTTTAAGCTCCTCAAACCTCCCTCAATCCCCATCCAACCTTCTCACTCGCGGATTCACATTGGTGTTACCGGGGCAATCGTCTCCAGTCAATCTTTCTGTAAAAATAGTTTGACCAATTTTATTTTGAATTCAATTTATTTGATTACAAGTGTAATGTTTAAAAATATAATTTATATATTTGAAAGTTATATCAAAAGTTTTACAAAATTAGAAGTGATATAATTATATTATTTTATCAAATGACTGTTAAAAATAAATAAAAAAATGAACAAAATTTGATCATACGAATAATAACTGAGAAGATATTTTAAAACGGGGAGATAATTGTAAAAAACGGCAAAAAGAACATGCTCAAATTAATTTCCTGATCAAGGAAGAATATAATAATGGTGGGAGAAAAAAAAATTCAAAGCATCGAATCTAATACTCCGTACACAACTGATTGTTGTTTAATTAGCTATTTAGCTTCCATGAAATTTAATAGGGAATATGCTTAAATAATTTTATTTTATTTTATTTTATTTTATTTGTAGTGGTCGTATGCTCAAATTATACTCCATTATTTGAGCATATATCTGGTGCCGCCGTCTAATACTCTACTGGAATCTCTCTATCATATCGGACTCATCTTCCTTAGGTCTTTTACTCCATTCCCAAGTTTTGGAACTTGCCTTTAATAGTTTATGCATTTAATTTTAGGAATGTTTTGAAAATGTTATTTATTTAGGATAGTTTTAAATTTATTATATTTTAATTATTGATGATTGTAAGAGTCTTCGATCGTACATTTTTTTGTGACAGAATTCTTAGTTTTAGATTTATCTATCATCCTGCACATGAAGCGATATGTTTATTGGCACATTATTCGTTCCAGGGAGGGCAATGAGGAATGAGTTGATTCACCCAAACATATACTCCCTCTGTCCCAAAGTTTACGAAAATTAAAAAATGTATGATTAAAAGTGATGCAAGAGAGATAAATATTATAAAGA